GAATTCTTCTCATAATTATTCCTTGTGAAACGTCCCTGCCTACAAGTGTTTATATCTTATAAGAGTAGTTTTTCTTATACGAAATTCTATGAGAATTTCATTGGCACCTTTCAACCCTCTAAAAATTTCTCACTACTATGTGCCGTTGCGTTGAAAATATTTTGGAGTACAACTTTACAAGCGCTAATGTAATTATTGGATGGAAGTTAGTAATAATAATGTCCATGTTTAATATTACTAAGTTACAAGCACAATAGGTTTATACTGGTTTAGAAGTATTTTATTAAGGCATGTGGCGTATTTTTCCCGATTTAACTAAAAAATTACTAGCAGAAAAAATGGTTTGTTTTTGTTTGTCTTGAAAATTAATTTCCTTGTTCATTCATTTTTTAAATACAAAACTTTAAAGCCGACACATACGTTTGATCAGAAAATATACATTTTTTCTATTTTAGACTTTACGCGGAGTTTAAAATCATCACGTTAACTTTGAAAATTACGCTTAACAGAAGAGTAGACTACTCTAGACAAATTGTATTCTCATTACCTTAATATTAGTTCGATTGGAATAGCATTATTATTTTGATTTTATTTGATTTTAAAATTTGGGTTTAAGAAATATCATATTTTTAATCTGAAATTTAATAAATGTATAATTAGAAATTGTATAAAGAACAAGGTGTTCCCTTTGGGCATAAAATAGCTACATTTATTGTTTTCCATTTACATCGATTTTAAAATGCAAATAGAACCTAAACGGAGTTACATACAGTGGTGTTCATGTAATTAAAACATTAACAGTGATAAAAATGTTTTGATCAGCCTTCGAATTGTTGGAAGTTTGTTTAAAATTTGATTTAATTCAGAAAACTTAGATATATTGCACTTAAGTGATTTAGCGTGAAAATAGAAAATTATTGCATGCAATTTTTTCATAAATAACGGTTTTTATGAAAAAACCTCGACTCCTTAAATGTTTTAAGTTAGGTAACCTAAGCACCGATAAAATCATTTACACAGAAAAAATAAAAAAATCTCCAAAGCCTATCAAAATTGGCAACAATTTGTACAATACACCTAACATTCGGAAAATCATGCTTAATATAAAAAATAAAGGTCTGAATGTATCAAAAATGGCTAGAATTAGTTGAAAACAATAAAAACTTCTTAAAGTTAGGAAATATTTGAAATAACAACTCAAAAAATGTGAATTAACCTAAAGGAACGATTCGATTTCGAATGTCTTTTTTGAAGAAGGCATAATTTTGCAGTATGTCAAGAAATATCGATTAATATTGGCATTTACTATATAAAATCGATTGTTCGAGTAGTACAGAATGTATATTATCTATTTTTTGATATCAATCACGGCAGAATGAACAGAGATAAACGTCTATGTTGTACATTAAAAGTTTTTGGCACACAGCAGCATTTTTGATTTGAGTATATACGAAATTATTGGAATCAGAGTTATTTTTGAAAATAATCCTACTTTGAAGTCTTGCATCTTTATTTCTTAGTATTGTTATTAATCTTTTTGTTTTTCTTTTCCATGATCGTATAAAAAATGTAACAAACTTTCAAATCGTTGACTTCGCATTATTTCTTCTAAATATTAATGATTTTTTGTATCTAATTTATGTTTTATGATTTCTATACATAAGTTGTCGGGCATATTTAATTTATCATTTTACAAAACCTTGACACACTAGTCGGAGCTTCCATTTGAATATATGTTCTTTATATGTTGATATATCGTAATACTCGATAATTGTTTGTCTCCAAAATTGTCTAAATGAATAATAGTTCTACAATTTACATGAAAAGATTTGTATTGTATTCTCAATATTTGCAAAGGAACACCATATTTCATACATAAAATTTTTAATTTGGAATTCTTAAAATTATGGGTTCAAAATTACATCATTTTTAATAACAGATGATTTAAAAAAATATATATATATATTAGAGGCATAATCCTTATGTAATGTGTGGATCAGCTACAAATGGGGAGCAAACGTAAAAAAAAATTTTGTCTTATTTTTTTATTTTTATTTATTTTTTTGAAAAGATTTCATTAGTCTGGAACAATGATGGGCAAAATTTATCTTTAAAAATTTTTAAGGGAAAATAAAAAGATGAATTATTCTTCGGAATTTATTAAATTTAATATTTTTAAAGCATAAATAATATTCAAGGAAGTTAAAAAATAAATTCATTAAAAAAAGTTCGGAAAAAATTTCATCAATGTTTATTTTTGTTTTAACATAAAAAAGTTTAAGTTTACCGTATACATGTGTGGACCAATCGTCACGAAATTTTGCATGTAGGATGGGTTCTGGCCAAGGAAAACCCCTATTGTTTTTGGTAAAGATCGGTTAATATTTAGTGGATTAAATGGACCAAAAGTTTTATTTTTGTCTGATTTTCTGGTCGATCTAGAAATCACACTTATGACACGAACATCAGGAACTTTTACATATAGTAAAGGGTCTGACCAAAGAATAAACATGACTATTTTAGAGAAGATAGGTTAATATTTTGCGGGTCAAATCGACACAGTCTTTTGTGTGAAAAAAAGGCAAAACGTGTATTCTCTTGCGTTTCGGTGATTTTTTCACTAATAAATAGTTGTTTTTTATAAAAAAAAACAAACTGGCATTCACCCTGACTATTTTGCAAAAACAAAATACAAATAGTATCCCAAATAATCCACCAACACTACTAAAATGGACCGAAAACTAATTTTTTGTGTTTTTTCAAGTCGCTCTATAAGCAGAATTTTACACTGGGAAAGCAATCTGGTCAAATAATTAGAAGGGCTTATGAATGATCTGTTACAATTCTATGGGTCAAGTCAACCAAGATCTTTCTGTGTAAAATGAAAAAAAATAGCATGTTATGGTATAAAACATGACCTCTAATCGGTTAAGAGGGTACACATATCGTCAAATGCCCATTCTCGGAATATAGATCTGTATAAAGTTAGAGTTTCGTAGTAGTTGTGTAGGGTTTCATATGGTCAGCCCTGACCGACTATTCTGCTCCGGTCACTGGTTTTAAAAATAATATGGTAAATTTTGTTTAAATTACTATTTACAAAACCGGATTTTTATTAAATATTATATTTTGAAAGAGCCTAAATTACTATTTACAAAACCGGATTTTTATTAAATATTATATTTTGAAAGAGCCTCCACAACCAAACATTTAAATCAATATATTTCCAATGAATATCGGAACAATCTACAATTATTAGCAATATTTTTAAAAGACCCAATAATTTTATAGACCGAAGCCTTGATTTTTTACAATATTATTACGAGTAAACATTTGTCCTGTCGAATCCCTCATTCATTTTTGATATAAGTGTTCATATAAAAATATTGAAAACTGTTCCTAACATTTCATATAACATTGACTATAATTTGACAGAGGATTAGAAATCAGGATTAAATATTGCCAAAATTTAACTGTTTGGATTAGTTCCGATTTTGTTAACGAATCATTCATATTTCTTTATTATTCTCTATATAGAGTCGAGTACGGTTATAGCGAACTTGTAGGGACAAAGTAGATCTGTTCGTTATAGAAGAAGTTCGTTATATCCAAGAATAGTAGAATTTTTACACTGACTATCGCACATAATGAACGTTTTCCAAATTTATATACTGGGTATAACGAATGGCGCAAAAAATAATGGCCTTATTAAAATAATATATAAACATATTATTATACATGTTATTGCGTTAATTAATATATTTTTTGATAGAAATCCATTGAAAAGTGGATTAAAATGTTTGTTTTTAAATAAATTAAAAAAAAAAAAATCGCGAAATAATGATTTTTTCGCTATAAGGAATGGGCTATTTTCAGGCCCTTCGGTATGACTTGATTTAAACATGTTAGAATATACAACGTAATTTGTTTGGTAAATTTTATTAGAAACCCAAGCCACTTTCATCACTTTCAAAATAAATGACTCATTTAGATACTGTCAGTTATTAGAATTTAACAACATTTCCAAAATAAATTTTCTATATTTTATATAGTTCCATGTAGATTTGGATACTTAATTTCAAGTAGCTGTCCACTATGGTGGAGAATAATTTAACGTTTTTTGCACATGTTTTTTTTTATTTTTTACTTATTTATTGAAGATAAATTTTAACATTTTACACCTTTTTTAAAGAGCTTTTATCATAGAATTTAGTGATCTTCAATGACCCGCCAATTTAGTTTTTATTACATTGTTACACAGCTTTGTTAAAAGTTTTTCTTTTTGGTTAAGTGTAGAAAAATTTACTTTATTTTTATTATATATTGATTATTTATAAAATGTCCAATAAATAAAATTTTTTTATATTCCATCTACTTGGTATTAAATGCCAGTAGATGGATGCTCCACTTTCCGAATATTTTTAAGCTATATATTCCATTTCTGTATATAACCTCATCTTGAATAACCTGTCAACTTTGTAATTTTTTTAAACCATTGTAAAATAAATTCTCAAGAACTTTTGTAAATATTGTTTCTTGATTTAAGATCATTCAAACTACTTTTTTATAACCTTTCACTAAGAGCATTTTTGAAATGTAATTGGGACTTTTTTTTGAAAAATTAAGGAGTTTGACTGAAGCAAATTAATGCATTAATTATTGGTATTAAAATATATAGAATTTTACATTTTTTCTCTATAATCCAAGCAGAATTTGGTGTGAGCAATTTTTGTTTTATTACAGAAAAGAAGACTTTTTAATATTTCTCTCAGGTTTTTTTCTTTATTTAGACGATAACTTTTATTTTAATATTTATTTGGTTTAATTCCAAACATTGCCACTCTAAAAAAATAATTATTGCCAAGGTTATGCACATTTTCAAATTTATGTACATTTTCTATGTATTATTTATAAACAAATATGTAATTTATTATGGTAAAAATTTTTAAACAAATGTTTTTTGTCCTTCATTTAAAAATTTGTAAATATTGTAGCGGTACCTTTGGCGTTTTGAGTATATGCTGGCCACTGCCCTATATATCCATGGTATGATTCATTCCACATTTTCGATTCGACATCTATCACAAATAGGACATTTTACGTCTCGATACGGTTCTTTGGCACCACAACACACAATAATATTAGCGGGGACCTCAACAAGGAGGCTAAATCACAAAACAAACACTTGACTTCAACTTCGAATTTAAAGAATTGAGACTTCTTGAACTTCGCACAAGATGGTAAAAAAAGACGATGGTAATAACAAGACGGACACACACCGTACAGAATGGAAAAAAGTTTAAGCGTTTTAACGCACACCCGGCTTTAACAACACCACCAAATACTTCAATTTAGTTGTTTTATCCTTTTCTCGAACTGCCGTTCTGTTACGGCCGGCGAACCGAATCTTCCATGCGCTGTGGCATTTTTGAAAATCTTTGGCATTGAGATGTACGTACCAAATGCCGTCGTCATCATCATCATCGCCATCGTCGTCGTCGTGGTAGTCGTTCTCCATCAAAACATCATTAACATTCTGAATGTACGTAGTACATCGGGCATATGTACAAAAATACATAAAATTTTTATTGTTGTACATCAACAACAACATCGTCATCATCATCATCTCCATCGTAGTAATGAACAACAACATCATCGTAGTCTCGATGTACATCGTCGTTTGTTCATAGTTCATGAACATTTATTTCCTTGGCAAAAGCATCTACCCCGAAGTGCTCTCTGTGTGGTGAGTTTTGTAAGTGAAGCTTTTCTGTCGGTATGTTTTTTGTAACTTTGTCAAAACTTAAGCCCCCTCCCACCTTACGAAAGTAAGTTAGACGTAAAATTTGGAGACATAAATGTGATTTTTTTTCCTCTCAAGCTAAAAGTAATGGATACCAAGTAGCCAAAGTTGTTTGGAGTTTCAGGAAGACTTTAAAATTGGATTAACTTTGACAGATTGTTTGTCGAATTTCCTTCCTGGCAGTCGCCGTGTGATACATTCATACATCATTGTCGGCATCATCATCGTCATAACAATCCCTTGGGAATTTAACGTAATTCTCCTCAGTTCGCTTTAAAAAATTTCCATTTCCCCAAGAATATCTAAATTACCCCGGGTCTTGCCTTTGGTTGGCTACGCTAGCGTATCAGTGATAATCTATGGATTTGTTTGTTGTTGTTGCTGTTTGTTTTTTGCTTTTATTTTCTTGTTATCTCTGATAATACTGGCCACCACAAACAAGTGTTAAGAAGCATAGTTGTTGTTGGCCACAATCACAGCCCAATTGGAGCATTTCAACCCCCATTTGTCTTCCACCAGCCACAATGTCTCTGGCATTTTATCACAAGGCAATTGGACGAGGACGATGACGACGACAAGCGTTCGTATTTGAAACCCCCTCCGCAAAAAAAAAACCAGAGCACAGAAAACCAAAACAAAAACCTGCACACATAGCCATCCAGCCAGCCAGCCACACACTTGCACAACACAACTTGTTACAGTTTCCAGCCATTTAGGGGTGTAATATTGCTGTTCACACTGCGACTGCCTCAAACAATGCCATTTGCTGCGCCTTAGTTGTGTTGCTTACTTTTTTTCCTGGTGGGGGCATAAAAGGGTGGTCCTACAAGGTGCATTTGTTTATTGTCGTAAACATTATTATTTAAAAAATAAAGGGAATTTAAAAGATATTACCGATTTTTAAAAATATATGTTACTAGCATATACCCGCTACTTCGTTAGCGAATGTGGGATGTATTTAAAACCCTATTTTAGAACCATTTTGTACGTATTTTCTGCCATAGTATGTTTTCAAAACAAATATGGATTCACCCAAATCCAAATTGAGTATCATTTAGTGCACATCAACAATCATAAGTACTTTAAAAATCATAAGTACGAGTTTCTAACACTTCCCACATACCCCAATCTTAATTCCAAATTTCAGGATTCTATCGCTTCACCTAAATTTGTATCACATTTAGTACCACTTAGAACACATAAGTAAAAATTTCCATTACTACCTACATCATGCAATCCAATTAAAATCATGAATTAGATAAAATCATAATAATCAAATTGTACTAAATTTAGTACATAATAGTACCAATTTCCAAAGCTTCCTACATACCCTAAATCAATCCTACGGTGATCCTAAATCAAAATTTCAGGACTCCAACTCCATCGGTTCACCAACAATTAAAATTGTACCAAATTTAGTACACAGTAGTACCAATTTCCAAAACATCCTGCATACCCCAATCCTACACCTCCACATTGTTCCTAAATCAAAATTTCAGGATTGCACCCACAATTCAAATTGTACCAAATTTAGTACACATTAGTACCAATTTCCAAATTTTCCTACATACTCCAATCCTACACCTCCCCAGTGATCCTGAATCAAAATTTCAGGATTCAAACTTTATCGCTTCACCCACAATTTAAATTGTACCGAATTTGGTACACTTAGAACAAATTTTTAAAACTTCCAATATACCCAAACCCTATACCCCCACAGTGATCCTAAATCAAAATTTCATGATTTCAACTTTATCGGTTTACCAACAATTTAGTTGTTCCAAATTTAGTACACATTAGTACAAATTTCGAAAACTTCCTACATATTTCAATCTTACACCTCAACAGTGATCCTGACTTCAAATTTCATGATTCTAGCTCTAAAATTCAAATTGTACCAAATTTAGTACCATTTACTACGAATTTCAAAAACTTCAAACTTAACCCAAACCAACACCTCCACAGTGCTCCAAAATCTAATTTTCAGGATTCCAACTCTATCGATTCACACACAATTCAAATTGTACCAAATTTAGTACACAGTTGTACGAATTTCCAAAACTTCCTACTTAACTCAAACCAATACCCCCACAGTGATCCTAAATCCAAGTTTGAGGATTCCAATTCCATCGGTTCACCCATAATTTAAATTGTACCATATTTAGTACACATTAGTACAAATTTTTAAAACTTCCTACATATCTCAATCTTACACCTCAACAATGATCCTGACTCCATATTTCATGATTCTAGCTCTATTGGTTCTCCTAAAATTCAAATTGTACCAAATTTAGTACCATTTAGTACGAATTTCAAAAACTTCCAACTTAACCCAAACCAACACCCCCACAGTGCTCCAAAATCTAAATTTCAGGATTCCAACTCTATCGGTTCACCCACAATTCAAATTGTACCAAATTTAGTACACAGTTGTACGAATTTCCAAAACTTCCTACTTAACTCAAACCAACACCCCCACAGTGATCCTAAATCCAAGTTTGAGGATTCCAGTTCCATCGGTTCACCCACAATTTAAATTGTACCAAATTTAGTACACATTAGTACAAAATTTTAAAACTTCTCACATATCTCAATCTTACACCTCGACAGTGATCCTGACTCCAAGTTTTATGCTTCTAGCTCAATTGGTTCACCTAAAATTCAAATTGTACCAAATTTAGTACCATTTAGTACCCATAAGTAATATTGTCTTAAACTGAGTCCTGACCCCAATCCTACACCCCTACAATGATCCAAATTTCATTGTTTCAGCTCTATCGGTTCACCCAAATCCAAATTGTACCAATTATAGTACGATTTAGTACTTTTCGTACACATAAGTAACAAATTTCCAAAACTACGTACATATCACAATCCTATACTCCGACGGTAATGTTACTTTAAATTTTCAGGATTCTAGCTCCATTTGTACCTCCAAATCAAATTTGTACCAATTATAGTACCATATAGTACTTTTCGTACACATGAGTACACGGTTTCAAAACCATCTCCTTATATCGACCCTACTTCCCAACCCTAATTCGCATTCCAAATTTCAAGTTTTTAGCTCTATCCGTTCTCATGCTACAGAATTGTACCAAATTTAGTACATTTTCGTACATTTCGGATAGTTGTAGTTCGAATTTCCAAAAACCCTTTGGTACATCTATCCTACACTCCATCAGTGACCCTCAATCCAAATTTCAGAGTTCTAGCTCTACTGGTTCGCCAAATACAAATGATATCATATTTAGTACTTTTGGTACTCATCTAATACGAATTTCCATAAACCCAGCCTTATCTGTCACATTTGGGCCAAGAGTGACCCTCACCCAAAATTTCAAGATTCTAGCTTCAGCCGTTTCGTCTGGGCGTTGATGAATCGTTAAATCAGTCAGTCAGTCAGTCAATCACTTTACTCTTTTATTAGTATAGATAAAAACTGTAATTGTATTATTTGTTTTCAAAACCATTTTCTATCCCCTGAGATCCCTATGTTATAAAAATCGATAGCAAATGTTTACCAAAAATTTACCAGAAGTAGGACAAAACAATTGTCAAAATTGGACGTAAATACCAGTAAGTTTTAGGACCCAAAACTATCTAGAGAATAAATTGTCCTCCAGTTTTGAAAAATAAAAAAAATCTATAAACTTCTAAAAATATTTTCGATATAGCAATGCGTTTAGAAATGGGAGAACAAAAGAAAAGTCAACTCTCAATAAAACTAGAATGCCAAATTACAGTTCCTTCATTTAGGAAATGTCCATAACGCAAATGTGACATATCGCTATATGGGGGCTATATCGGAACGTGAACCGATATATCTATTTTCAATAAGAAGAAGTAGCAATGTGTGCCAAAATACAATGCTTTTGCGAGCTCAAAGAACAAATGGGCACGATTACATTGACAAAGCATTTATTTCTCATCGATATTAAATTCAAATTCTTTAAAAACGGACAAATTGGTCTGAAATATTTATGTTTCAAGTACCTCAGAGGGCATGGATTTTTTAAACATTGTCTTTTTTCAAGGACTTCTGCAGGCGTGGATTTTTTAAACAATAACTTCTAAGGCGTGAACTTTTTGCACAATTTTATTTCGATGCTCCTCTTGAGTCGTGAATTTTGTACAAATATGTTTTCATGCAACTCCAAGGACTAGGGTTTTTTACAAAAAAATTTTCAAGAACTTGGATTTTTACAAACTTGTTTTACAAGGACCTCAAAAGACTTCGATTTTTTACAAATATTTTATGAAGGAACTCTGCAGATATGTAATTTTTAAATAATATTTTTTGAAGAGCCTC